GGGAGTGAGGGTGGAAATTATTTTTTTGTGAAGATCATTATGAACAATGGCACAGCTGCAGTTTTTCCTCCTCTGAATGCTGGATAAAAAAAATTAGGATCTCCTGGCCAAGTGCTGTCATTCTGCTAGACCATTTGGAGTGACTGAGTCGGTGCAGCGTCCGACTGACATCGAGTCGCGGGACGCTCCTTTCATCCTTCCAAGATAGGTCACCGTGCGCGTGTGCACGACCAAGTCCACGTTCCATCATCCTGATCAGCCTTTTTTAATCCACTGCCGGACAAGGCCAAGAAAGATTTGCCAAGAAACTTTGCCTTGTGCAATTCTTATCTAATTTCCTCCAACAAATTTCTTCAACTCACCCTACCACCAATCCAGAGGTCTTCGCCGCACAACTTTCTGTCTTTTGGAACTTAGTACACTATATCTTTTGTCAAGCAATGGTCCATTGTTCTTGCAACATGTTTTATCTTTTGCCAGTTCAAATTCTTCGCTCTTGCCATGACATTTGCATCCGTATGACAGTTGAATCCAGTAGCCAAAATTTTGATCTGTAGTAAGTGAATATCTTTTGTCAGATATTACAGTCTTTGCTGCTCTGCTGTTCAACTTGTATTGGCCTTAGATGACGAAGACAGTAAGAAGAACAAAAGATTAATACCATATCGGAAGGAAACAGGAAATTACTCGTTACAATATTCACCCGCTACAGAAATTGCTGAAAATACATACCTGGCTGATGGATCGCGACGCACATTAACCCTTGGAGTTGGAAATGTACAAGATATCCACATCCTTACGGTTAAAGACAAATTTTCTTTCTCGTCATTGATTGATCGAGTTGATTCCATTTTACATCGGTATTTGAATCTGCATTCCATAATTCAATGCATATTGGAATTCACTACTTACAACCTTTTGCCCCTGCAATTTTCATAATCTTAGTAAAAAAACGAAGCCATATCGAAAACTGAGTATTTACTTATGGATTGCTTTTCACAAGAACCGAAAAAGAACATTGGCGAGCGTAAGCTATAGTAAACAGTTAACATCTGCTTAAATTCATCCTTAACAGGTCAGCAGAATAGCACATCTAATTAGTCCAAACACTTGATATTCCAAACAAACATGATCTATGTCCCAGTTAAATAGTAGGAGCCAAAAGAAGCGCTCATGATCTGTTATGAACGCGAATTTTTCAAACACTGTTCAAATGACATCAGATAATAAATGGTATTATGAACTTGAGATGGATTCTTCCATTCATCAACATCTGACCACAAATGGCCAAAGAAAACTAAAAAGCAGACTAAATATGAATTGACAATCTTTAAACAAAAGGAGGATGTGAGGACTTACATATGATCGGTGTGGTCGACGCCCAATGTTTACTGCGTTACCCTATCTCGAACAATCCTTATTTACGTATGTGATTATTTCAACACTTCTGTACTTGTTTACTTGCCCATGTACTTTCTCGTTGTTTACTCTGAAGCGTCATATTGCCATGACGCATAACAACTAAGTTATGCATTGACATGCCTCCAGTAGATACCCTGATGCCACCCAAGTGACAGGTGCAAGGAAAGTGCTGCAACCTAAACATCTTTCTACTAAATCACTGTAACCCTGGATGTCAGTCAAAAATCACGCGCAATAATGATCGTTGCATCTCTGCCATAATAAGCACCATAGTCATTGGTTGAATGGATGCTGTGTTCATTTCGATGGACGGCTTCAACAGTATTTTTTTCGACATGGAGCATGTTCGAGAGGCTAGCGGATAATCGAATCTGTAGGAAAGGACTTCAGCGGTCACTACGTCCGGTAGTACCAAAAAAGAATCGTCTTCTGATAGGTGTGGCGACGGCAACCCCAAAGAAATGGCATATCAGGAGCAGATAGATAACTAGATGTATAAAAAGTTAAAGATAGACAGACAAACAAATTGATAATTAAACAAACAGATACGGAGAGATAGATGAATCGTGAAATAAATGTACAAACTGACCTTAGAACTCGTGGATGAAAAAAGATGGCCGCCTATGAAGAGCCGGCAAGGTATAATTCATAGCGAGTTTGACAAGAATTTTTGTCATGCCTCTGTCCTTACTTCGAACAGCACGGGTTATTTGTTAGAACGGTGAAAGATCTGGGTGATAAATAAAGAGATATTGCAGGTTTTAAAGAAATACTCATTTCGGGAACAT